TTATTTAAAACTAATTTTTTAAATGATAATTTTTTTTTTGCAAAATCTTAAAACCAGTTTTTTCATTCTAATTCGTGGATTACCAACCGTACCTAATTCTTTCTGATTTTGGTCCTATTTAATTTAGAGTTAAACTTGGTTAATTTTGGGAAACAAATTAGAGAAAGTTGATCATCTTTAAATTGTCAAACTTGACAATTTATTAGGTTGCTTCTTCGATAACACTGGCTGGCCTTGGCCACCTAATTTCAATAAATTATATTTGGATACCTCCATAACAGGGGAAAAAGGATTCCCCTATAGTTTTAAGTTTTAACAAATTAATCAAAATTATAATCAGATGTTTGGTAAGAAAAGTATACAAAATATTTATATAAAATTAACTAAAGCTATATAGAATATTCCCAAACTTACTAAGAAGTAAAAAAAACTAAAAATAAATCTTGAAATGATAACTTTTCTCTTTTGCTTTATCTAATAATGCCCCCAAAAATTAGACCACCGCCAGAACCCAGAAGTATCCATACACAAAAAGAATAACACAAAATGTCATTAATTAAATCCAAGTTGCAATAGTTGAGGTTATATTACTTTGTAACAAAATATTTTTGTATTAAGTAACAAGAAAATAAATCAATCCCTTTCTTTCTCGAATCTTCTGATATACATTGACACAAAAGATCTGAAAAAAATCGTGTTACCTTCTTTTCTTTTCATGGTCTTAGCTTCCATGTGAGGTTGTTATTTGTTTTACTAATTTGAATAGTAATTATTTCAATTCTTTTACAATTATTCATCTAATTCCGGTGTTACTTAACACTACGAACAAACTTTCAATTGTAACTTTTTAGTATTTGAGTTTAGCAATAAATGTTTTCTTGTATTTGAATCAAGTTTATGTTAACAACATATTCATACTCTTAACATTTAGACCCCAATAAAAAAAAACATATTCATACCAACATAGTGTATAACGATTATGCTTGGAATAATCTCTCATTATCATCCATCAATAATTTCTTTTAGAAAAGATCTATCAATAAATCGAAATTTATAGTCCATCAACTTCATAAAAAAGTTCTTGATGATGTTAAACCGCGGGAAAACTAATAATTCATACAAAGTCGAAGTATGAATTATGTCGTTGTTTTT